AAAAAAAGCACGTGCATCTCCTTACTAGTGTTCCTAAAAATAAATTAACAAGTGCAATAGATCAACCAAATAAATAAATGCTAGAAATATTTTTATAAAAAGTAGCATCATTAAAAAGGAAAACATTAAAAAAAAAAAAAAGAAGTGGAACAAAAGTAATAAAAAGAATGTGTTAGTTACCTTAGTACAAAAAATAGATTATTAAATCATAATATTATTAATCTATATTTCCTTTAATATATTTCTCTTGACTAGCAAATAATCTATACAGCAGCAGTAGCTGTAACGTCTCAATTTTCGGGCTTAAACTTTTGTATTAATTTTGTATGAAGGAATTGTAAGAGAAATAACAAAAGAGTTTAAGGATTAAATTGCAATGCTTTAGGGGGGCAAGATTGTAAAAAATTTTATATTTAAGGGCCGGATTACAATATAAGAAAAAAAAGTGATAACCTGCCCTTTCACGTGGCATTGCTGGAACTTCAGCCAAGCCACTAATTTCCCTTTTCTAGCCACGTTGAGGGGGTGGAGTAATATAGGAAGGGAAAAAAAAGTTTTCACTCTATCTCATTCTCTTTCTCAACCTCAACTCCCCTTCACGTTTCTTTCACTCTCTCTTTCTCATCCCTCTGTCCGACCCTCTCTATCTCCCTCCCAGAAAAAAAGCTTTGATTTAGATGGCACCTAGGGGCTAGCTCAGGAGCCGGGATGGGTCAAACATTTACATTTTTATTTATGTTTTGCATTCTAAAATTAATATGTAATTTTTAGGAATTAATTCAACAAGCGGCACTATTTTTTTTTTATGAATTTTCCACTTTTTATGATTTTCTTTATTTTTCGTCTTTAAAAATATAATAAAATAAAAATGAAGTCAAAAAAATAATGAAATTTTACAGACATGATCCTTACATTTTTGTAGGAATGCCAGAATAAAATGGCCTCAAAAAATGACAAAAAAAGTGAAACGCTGTCAAAAAGCCCCCGACCCGCGTAGTGGGGCACCTAGGGGCCAGCTCAGGGACCGGGATGGGTAAAAAATTTACATTTTTATTCATGTTTTGTATTCTAAAATTAATATATGATTTTTAGGAATTAATGCAACAAGCAGCCCCATTTTTGGTTGAATATTCTATTTTTTATGATTTTTTTTTATTTTTTGTTTTTAAAAATAAAATAAAATAAAAACGACATCAAGAAATAGTGAAATTCTACAGACAAGATCCTTACAATTTTCTAGGTATGCCAGAGAAACTGACAAAAAAAATAAAACGCTGTTAAAGAGCCCCTGCCCGCGTAATGGGGGGTGTCTGAAGCGACACCTTTTATACTCAAAATTTTGTGTACGGTGATGGATCGCCTAGGGGCCAGCTCAGGGGCTGAGATGGGTCAAAAATTTACATTTTTATTTTTGTTGTGCATTCTAAAATTAATATATAACTTTTAGGAATTAATGCAGCAAGCGGCACCATTTTTAATGAATATTCTATTTTTTAGGATTTTCTTTATTTTTTGTCTTTAAAAATATAATAAAATAAAAATGACGTCAAAAAATAATGAAATTTTACAAACATGATCCTTATATTTTTCTAGGCATGTCAGAATAAAATGGCCTTTAAAAATGACAAAAAAAGTAAAACGCTGTCAAAAAGTCCTCAACCCGCGTAGTAGGGCACCCAAGGGCCAGCTCATGGCTTGTAATGGGTAAAAAATTTACATTTTTATTTGTGTTTTTTATTTTAAAATTAATATATGATTTTTAGGAATTCATGGAACAAGCGGCACCATTTTTTGATGCATATTATATTTTTTATGATTGTCTTTAATTTCTAGCTTTAAAAAATATAATAAAATAAAAACGACGTAAAAAAGTAATGAAATTTTGCACACACGATCCTTACATTTTTCTATGCATGTCAGAAAAAAATGGCCTCAAAAAATGACAAAAAGAAGTAAAACACTATAAAAAAGTTCCCGGTCCGCGTAGTGCCTAGGGGCCAGCTCAAGGGTCGGGATGGGTAAAAAATTTACATTTTTTTCTATGTTTTGTATTCTAAAATGATTATATGATATTTACGATTTAATGCAACCAGCGATACCATTTTTTGATGAATATTCTATTTTTTATGATGTTCTTTATTTTTTGTTTTTAAAAATATAATAAAATAAAAACGAAATCAAAAAATAATGAAACTCTGTAGACACGATCATTACATTTTTTTAGGTATGCAAGAAAAAATGGCCCCAAAAAATGACAAAAAAATTAAACACTATCAAAAAGCCCCCGGCCCGCGTAGTGAGGTGCCTAGGGGCCAGCTCAGGGGCCGGGATGGGTAAAAAATTTACAATTTTATTTATGTTATGCATTCTAAAATTAATATATAATTTTAAGAAATTAATGCAACAAGCGGAACCATTTTTTGATGAATATTTTTTTTTTATTTTCTTTATTTTTTATCTTAAAAAAATATAATAAAATAAAAATGACGTTAAAAAATAATAAAATTTTGCAGACACAATTCTTAAAAATTTCTAGGCGTGCTAGAAAAAAATGGCCTCGAAAAATGTCAAAAAAAGTAAAACGCTATTAAAAAGCCCTTGGCCCGCATAGTGGGGTGCCCAGGGGCCAACTCAGGGGCTGGGATGGGTCAAAAATTTACATTTTTATTTGTGTTTTGTATTCTACAATTAATATATAATTTTTAGGAATTAATGCAACAAGCGGCGCCATTTTTTGATGAATATTCTATTTTTTATGATTTTCTTTATTTTTCATCTTTAAAAATATAATAAAATAAAAACGACGTCAAAAAATAATGAAATTTTGCAGACACGATCCCTACATTTTTGTAAGAATGTTAGAATAAAATGGCCTCAGAAAATGACAAAAAAGTAAAACACTGTCAAAAAGCCCCAAACCCGCGTAGTGGGGCGCCTAGGTTCCAGCTCAGGGGCCGGGATGGGTCAAAAAATTACATTTTTATTAATTTTTTGCATTCTAAGATGAATATATGATTTTTAAGAATTAATGCAACAAGCGACACCATTTTTATTGAATATTTTATTTTTTATGATTTTGTTTATTTTTTTATTTTTAAAAATATAATAAAATAAAAACGACATTAAAAAATAATGAAATTCTGCAAATAGGGTCCTTACAATTTTCAAGCTATGCCAGAAAAAAATGGCCATAAAAACTGACAAAAAAAATAAAACGATTTTAAAAAGCCCCTGGCCCGCATAGTGGGGCGCTTAGAGGCCAGCTTAGGGGCCGGGATGGGTCAAAAATTTACATTTTTATTTATGTTTTGAATTGTAAAATTAATATATAATTTTTAGAAATTAACGCAATAAGCAGCACCATTTTTTGATGAATATTCCTTTTTTTATTTTCTTTATTTTTTATCTTTAAAAAATATAATAAAATAAAAATGACGTCAAAAAATAATGAAATTTTACAGACACGATCCTTACATTTTTCTAGGCATGTTAGACAAAAAATGTGCTCAAAAAATGACAAAAAAAAGTAAAACGCTATCAAAAAACTCTCAGCCTGCGTAGTGGGCGCCTAGGGGCCAGCTCAAGAGCTGGGATTGGTTAAAATTTTACATTTATATTTATGTTTTGTATTCTAAAATTAGTATATGATTTTTAATAATTAAGGCAACAAACGGCACCATTTGTTGGTGAATATTCTATTTTTTATGATTTTTTTTATTTTTCGTCTTTAAAAAATATAATAAAATAAAAACGATGTCAAAAAATAATGAAATTTTAAAGATACGATCCTTACATTTTTCTAGGCATGTCAGAAAAAATGGCCTCAAAAAATGACAAAAGAAAAGTATAACGCTGTTAAAAAGCCCCCGGTCCTATGAGAGAAAATACTGTAGCAATAGAACTTGAGTCGTGAAAAGAACAATGCCTAAAATTTATTTAATTTAAGAATCTATTTCCTAATGAACATTAAATAGACGAAAAAATCTTCAAAAATAATAAAAAAATCCTCTCTTTTCACTTCTTTGTATTGCGTGAGAGAAACTAGCTGAGCAATTTTACACTAAATTGTTGACCCTCATTTTTTTAACATGATTTCTGTTAAAATTCGTGATGGATGGAGTTTTTTGTTCACATTTCATAGAATCCGGAAGCAGATGTTATATTTTGAAAATTAAGGGCACATTGTTATAAGAATTATTGTTGTAGAGAATTTCTATAAATTGAGTGCACATTGTTACAAGAATTATTGTTTCAGGGAATTTTTATAATTAATGGTTTATGAAATTTCACCAAAATAAAATAAAATAAAATAAAAAGTACGCAGCAAATCAGGACGTCTTCGTTTCACGGTAGAGCCAAGCCGTAGAGGTTTTTTTCTCCAACTCTAGAAAAAAGCTGTTTCAGAAGCAAAAAATATTCCGCTCAGCAAAGGAAAGGCCTTGGCGACGACTCCTTCGCGATCTTCTCTCTTAAGGTAATCTAGGGTTTCCGATTTCCTTCTCCTTGCGATTTTCTTTTCAATCACTATATTTTGAGTTTAATCATTCAATAATTTTAGTGTCGATTGTGATCTAGGGTTTTAGTAGGGCTGATTGATTTGAAAGCTCTAAATGATTTTCCTTTGTATGAGTGTATTCTTATTTGGATTCGTAGAATTGTTATCTTCGATTTTTATTTCTCTATTATTCATAAAAACTAAATCAAAAAGCGAATTGGGTCAGTCACGAGTGCGTTAGTTTAATTTGAAAATTAATTTAATTCAAGCGGAGATGAAGAATTGAAGTGTGCGATGAGGAAGGTTTTGTGTTGAAATTTTCAGAATTATAATATCTGTTGGTCGATAAAAAAAATTGGTGCAGGTTTGATTCTCCAAAAAAAAAAAAAAGAAACGAAGAAAAAAAACGAAAAAGAGAGGTAAAAAATTGGATTTTATTAGAATTTGAAGGTCGAATTAGTTATAAGGTAATATTTAACTGTCTGTGAGAAAATTTTCCCTTTTCAATGGGACTAGGGTTGCCACTAGACTTACAGCCAAACACAGAAACAGAACAACAAAGGTTCCCATTACATATACAGCAGCCGCAGCAAATGTTCTTCTTCGATTTCGCTGCTTCTCGTCTAAGAATCTGGTACAGTTGTCGTCTTTGATCTCGGGATAATACTTTCCGTTGACGCCCCAATCGGCAGAATTTGGGGTAGCGTTCTGCTGAGTTTCAAAGAAACCCCCGAGGAAGTAACGCCACCTTCGATTTCTCTCATTCTGGTCCCTGTGTTATTTTGATTACCTCTATTCCGAAAAGGTCTCTCTCTCTCTCTGATTTTATTGAAACTTTCGATATGTATGGTTGGGAAATCTAACAAATTCTTTCTTTTTAAGTGTATTATGTAACCTTAATTCTTTCACATTTGAATCATTTGTAACCGTTTTCTTATATAACCTTTGTGGTGGTTTTCCTGTCTGTCGAATCAATTTTGTCTTCTCTTCTGCCTGCCTATGGAAAATATATGCTACTCTTTACCTTTCAATCGACGAGTCCAACGAACCTCCCATCTTGAAGGTTGTGTTCAACTCTTGTTTGATATCTCCGATCTCCCTTGATTGGAAGTTGATTCTGTACCGTTCTAACGCAGCATTTGCCTTTAATCCCTAATTGGGTCCTCTCGGTTTGCCTCTCATCTCATGGATTTACAAGTGTGTGTGTGTGTGTGTGTGTGTGTGTGTGTGTGTGTGTGTGTGTTTATACATTTTTATCGTCACTTTGTTCATATTTTGCTTTATTTTAAGAATATATTTTTACATTTAAAAGTAAATTTGTTCATGTAAATTTGTTTTTCTTTGGATAATTCAATTAGAGTAGGTACTATGTTGCATAATTTGATTGTTTTAGTATGATGTATTGATTATCTTCCCGTTTATATATTTTTATCATCACTTTGTTCATGTTTTAGTATGTTGCATAATATGTGATTTGCTGTGTACAACATCTAGAGCACTGCAACTTTATGTTTTTTGGTTGTGTCGAGGGATTGAAACAAAAGCCTTTTTCAGTGTGGTGGAATTTTTTGGCTGGGTTTACTTTTGGTAGGAGGGAAAAATGGGAGGAGGGAGAGAGTGGAGGGATTAGTGGAAGGGTTTTGACACACATGGTTGTTTGTTGGGAGAGAAAAGAGGAGGGAATAGATCATTGACGGATTTCGTTTCCTTCAGAAAATCCCAACTTTAATCTCTACCAATATTGAGAGATTAGAGGAGGAACTTCATACCGAACACAATAACAGAAAGGTCCTCGCCTTCCTCTCTTTTTTTCTTACCTAAGTTATATACCTTTCTTTCTTTCTTTCCTATTTTCTTTCCCTCTACCAAACACAATCTAAATGTCATTTTGGGTTTTCAAATGGAACTGGAATTAGAGTGCTTTATCTCACTACATTCTTTTAATGATGTCCTTTTTTTCTATCATAGTTATTTATCCTCTTTTCAGCCATAAGAGAAAGCAAAGCATTCGTTTTATCTTGTTCTCTCTCTTTTAGGTTTCTGCAGGCTCCGTGGTTGGTTACCTCACGTGGTGCGCAACCCATTTTAAACCCACCACCTCTGTCTTCTATTTGTCTGGTTCATTATATCCCTTTGACTATTCCACCACTTGAGGGTACTAGTCTGTTGAAATACTTGGTTAAGAGCACTTGAACTGTTGGGTATTAATGCTTAATCTGTCAAATGGTTGAATTGTTGGGATTTGTAATAGATCTCTCTTTTTGTTGCTAGCATCTTTAGCGAGGTTTCTGTTTTCAGTTTAATATGTCTCCTATAATAGAATGACATAATATATCCACTTAATAGTATTGTTTCTTTTACAGTTGTCATGTCTGCCAAGTACATTATTTCTGCTATAGTGGGATCATTTGCCGTGGCTTGGGCATGCGACCACTACATTGCTGACAAGAAGATATTTGGAGGCATGTTCTGCTTCTTGTTTTGAAGCCTTTGCATTTGTCTCAGGGTTCTAATGATATGCTGTGTTGTGATTCAGGGACTACCCCCCATACTGTATCAAACAAGGAGTGGTGGGAGGAAACTGACAAGAAGTTGCAGGCATGGCCTCGTACTGCTGGCCCACCGGTCGTCATGAATCCCATAAGCCGCCAGAATTTCATCGTCAAGAGCCACACTGAAGCTTGAAGCGTTCTACATTTATTAAATGATCTGGTTGAATTGTTCACTCTTGAATGAGACATCTGAAACAACGTTTATCCTGGATTTTTTGTTTTGTTTTAAAGGTGGGATATAAAGTCGGGAATGCATATTTCGGACGTAGTAGGGGCTTTTGTAACCGGTCTTTCCATGTACTCTTTTGGTCATGGCTTGGTAAGTGGATACTAATAAATGCCAAATTTGTCATTTGTTTTTTTTATATTTATTTTTTTATTGCGTATGTTAATTCATCCCACTCGCATCCTAGACCTAATAATTTCTTCTTGCCCCAAATTCTGGATATGGTGAATGAAAGATAGGGGAATGAAAAAACACTTTTTGGTGTTGCGAATACAGATGGCTTGGGACTGAATGGTGATTCAGGGTTATCCCAACTAATTGTTATATTGTGTAGTTATATTGTGTCGCTTTGGAGGCAAAGTTAAGTTGATTTGTTGTTGAGACATTTCCTGTGATATTGTCTGTGCATAGGGCTTAGAAGCTCTAATCCTTTGCTTGCCTAAGATACATGACTTGCAAAGTAACACTTCTAAGCAACTTTATATTGCCTAAACTTTAGAGAATTGTTGAGTGAAGAAATATTGTGAGTTGGGAACGCCAAAATGATTAAGAATCGGAGCAAAAATAACAATAATAATAATAATAATAACAAATAAATAAATAAAATAAAATAAAATAATGATTCAGATTCTTGGCGCAATATAATTTCTTACATTGCTTAATACATGAACAACCATTTTATCAACGTTCAACAGCTAGCAGCAGTCCACAAGTTCACTTCATTTTCCTGTTTATACAATAACGTTTAGTCCATCTATTTGTATCAGAAATCATACATATGGAGTGCACATAGTAAAGCAGCTTCTTTATTCTCTTTTTCTTTTTCATTCAATGGCTGAGACATTGCTCTTCAGCGTAGCCGACTATGTGTCGGCAATGCTTGAGTCTCTTGCTGACCAAGTGTTTTTCTCTGCAAGGTATGTCGCTTCCTTTTTTGATCTGATCCGGTTAGATTTCGTCTTAGTATAGGGCAAAAGATAAAGAAGCGACTGAGAGATTGGATGAGATTGCAGCTGATATAGCTAAATTCCATCTTTCAGAGATAGTGGCTGATAGAGTTGTAGTGCATGTGAGGAAGGAGATGGCACATTCCTTTGTGATATCTTCGGATGTCATCGGAGATACAGAGATAGAGAGAAAAGTTTGTGGCTATTGATGCGGCCTTCTGATGTTCAACACATATTTGTTTTGCCTATTTGGAGTTGGAGGCTTGGAAACACCACACATGCAAAGTTCGTGTTCAATGATGAAAGGAGTAGTTGGGAATTTTGACCTTACATGCTTTGTTACCTATTCGGTTAGGAATCACAGATTTTTTTGTCCCCATCACATTCATGCATTTACGAATGATGTGATAATAATGATATTTCTAAAAGGTGTTCTATTTGTTTGTAGCTCACTTTTGACACCAGATAAAGCAAATATTAGTTTTGTGGATGCGTGTATCTAGGGGATTTGATCTGAAACTCCTTACGTTTACTATTATCAAATTGGCAACCGGTGAAAACTGTATTGATTTGGATCCTGAAACCTGCAAATGTACCTTTGATGAGCATTAGATAGTAAGAAATTCTTGCTGGTCTTAGATGATGTTTAGAACGAAGAGCTTGACAAATGGATCAAGTTGAGAAATCTATTGAGTTGGGATGCTGATGGAAGTAAGAACTTGCGACTACACGCAGCCCCATAGTTGCTTCAATGATGGGCACGCTTCCGACTTGCAACCTGAGAGATCTTGCAAATGCGTAGGTTTGACTTTGTTGCTGAAATGGTCATTAAAGGAGAATTTATCAAAATCTTGCGGCAACAGGGAAGGACATTGTCAAAAAGTGTGAAGGTGTACCCTTAGCAATGGGGACATGAGGCGGCCATCTTTACTCAAAAAATGAACGAACTACATATATATTTTTCCTTGAAGATTTTCAGGATGTAGGATACTTTTACTGCTTTAAAATGCATGATCTAGAGCTGTTAGTGGCAGAAAGGGAGTGATCAATCATCGATAATTGTAGGTGAAGTATCTCTCAAAAAGTTCGGCATTTATCATTTTCTCACGCTGATTTCCATGCTCAAGATGTTTAAAAGCGACTTACTGAGACAACGTTTCTTGAAATGTGTTTTCTAAAGATTCGAGTATATGGGACTCCTAGATTTAAGATATTCTTCTTTTGAGATATTTCCAAGTTCAGTTGCAATTCTGAAGCATTTAAAATATTTAAGCCTAAAGAGGAACCATAAACTTATGAAACACCTCAATTCTATTTGCAAGCAGCAGAATTTATAAACTCGACTTGGGGGATGACAACAACTTCAGAAACTACCAAGAGATGTTAAGGAAGATGGTGAATCTCAAATTTTTCATAATAATCACAAAGCAAAATATACTATCAAAAAATGGAATAAGGTGCTTGAGATCTATTCATTTTTTTTTTCATTTCCAAATAATCTGGAATAGAGACAAACAAAAGACTCACAGCCCTCAAATCATTTGTTTTGGCAAATTGTCAAGATCGAATACGAAAAGGTTGAATTCACAAAAGAAGGTGACAACCAAGACAATGGATTTAGTCTAAGATCTCTTCTGTTTACAGAATTACCTCAGATTGAGTCTAACATGGATCAAAGGCACTACAAAGTCTTTACAATCCTTAGTTTTTGAAAATTGTTCTATCTTTAACCTTGAACTCTTTAAGTGTTTTAAATCAGCTAAAATTTCGTTAAAAAATTTGGACGCAAAACTATTGCAATCTTGTAATTTTTCCTTAGATAATAAGCAATCTCATATTTTTATGTCTTTTTTTTTCCTTAATGTGTTTTTTTAATTTTTTTTCGATAAAACACAAAAACTCAAACCATATAGGTTGTTTTTAATGTTTTATTTTATTTTATTTTTTGATATGTTTCTCTGTATTTTATTTTTTCATATGAATTTATTTTTTCAATTTGAGATTAATTAATGAGTTTAAGATATGATAACTACTAATTATTTTTCTCTATAAAATGTGAAATAAAGTTATTATTTTTTTCCTCTATACATGAATTTAAACAAAAAGATTTCGTTGATACAAAATCTACAAAACTCGACTTTTCCCTGTACCAAACTTGAAAAAAGCTGTCTACAAGAAACTTGAGATCTATTCATTTTTTTTTTCATTTCCAAATAATCTGCAATAGAGACAAACAAAAGACTCACAGCCCTCTAAAATGGATGATTTCTTTTTTTTTTTTCACTATTTCAATAACTTTTATGTACTTTCTATGCATTATAGGTGTTGATACTCATTTTTCACAAGGCAGAAGTCCATATCCCGCGATAGTGCCCAAAAGTGGATCTTATTTGCGCTTCGAGAATCTTTAAATGGGCCGTGGTTTGAAAGGAAAGAAAATGTAAAGCTCATATTATGTAGTTTGATTAGACTCGTAACTCATTTGGAAAGTTTAAAGCCCGTAAGGAATTAGAAGAACATGGTGGGGGAAATCAAACCAAAATAACCAATTCCTTTAACCCAATTCTTAGAAAAATCTAGGCCTCGTTCACTTCACCGATTCGAGTTTATAATTTGAGTTTTGCTACTAAACGGGCCCCTAGTGAGTCCAGTCAACCTAAATCCCAAATCCAATTACCAAAAAATCTGAAAAGGCCCAAATCCAACCCAAATCCTACACAAAACGCCAAAGTTGACTTCCTTTTCTCTTCTCTCTTCTGGTGGTTAGCATAAGGAAACCAAAGTGCTCGGCACTTATAGAACAAAAGCAAAACACTCTCTTGTACATAGTTTACCCTCATTTATAGACCAGCTAAAGAAGCTCCCATGCACCTCTCTGATAAATGCTACCTAAAAAATGCCAAAAACCAAGAAAAAGAGAGTTGATCACCTCTCACATTGGGAGAGGCTTTCCCGCGTCATGTGGCTTCTACGTTTGGTTTCCACCATAGAACCAAGCTCAAAATTCCTCCCAACTAGTGCCTCCAAGTGGAAAATCATCAACCAAATCAAAAGAAGTTTGGTTTCCCTCAAATCCCAACCCTTACCTATAAATACCACCCCTTTCCACGCAAAAACGCAGGGCAAGAAACAGCATAGAGCAAGCTAAGAACAAAGCTCACTTAAGCCTTTCTCCTCTATGGTTTTCGACGAAGTCCCTCTAAGCACAACAATCCCGGGGCGTTCTTCTCGTTCGAGACCTTAATGTGTCGAAGTTTTCTCCATTATAATCATCCATATTACACTAGGAAGTAGAGTAATTAATCACCCACGATCACAGGACGCACTCAACCTCCATAATTTTCAGCGATGTTCCTCTAAAACACGTTTCAAGGCGCTCTTCCCATTGGAAGCAACAAAGCTCCCATAACCTCTCAAAACGGCCCATTTACAATTTTTAGGCACAAAATGACATCAAGAGTAATTAGAAAATACTTCCTTTGATTTGGTTGATTTCCACCTCCGATGATGAAGACTTCCTCACCGGACGTAGAACATATGGTTATTTCAACTTGAAGTATTATCCTTTATCCTCATGGACATCTCCACATCATCATAAACTGAAGTAAAAACCTCTTACACAAACTGATTACGTTCCTTCTACATACTAACTTCGAGACCATTCTCACGAAATTCTTCACTTTTACAATGCCAGAATCGCAATGGGTGTTGCCTTTGGAACTGCCTTCATCGGAGTCACTTGGGTTTAGCCCAACCTAGCTGAGGCCAACCTCATCGCCTACAAAGACGACCCTTCTTCCAGGCACGCTCAATTCCAAAGTCCATAAGGATAATTTAAAAGCCTCTCTTGGCCTGCTCAAGTGCCTTTGGACGGACTATCACTAGATGATCCCTGCACATGATAATAAATCCGCTTGGTCTAATCAAAAGAGGCCACGAACGCGGTACCCTCCACGTCAGTAAATCTGTCACAAAAGAGCCCCATTAATAGCCTGTATAATGGATAAAAAATAAATTTATGACTTAACTATTAATGACTTTTAGTGTTTTCCATCCAAATGTTACAAAATCTTAAACGAGAGACTTAATTTGAAACATTTTAAAAGTTTAAGTTTAACACCACACTTTTTAATATAGTAGTTAATTTTTTTAAAAAAGAAAAAAGTTCACTATTCTCTCAT